AGAGAGAGAGAGAGAGAGAGACATGAAGTTGGGGTGTACAAACATAGATATAGGAGGAATTAAGGAAAGGAGTTGGAGGTTTTGAATGTGACCAAAATACTCCAAAATAATAAAAAATATTTAAAACAAAAAATACTAACTATAACAAACAACCCCACCAGATATATTAAAGAATAAATAATTGAATGGGTAAGGATTATGCTTGGCACATAATAAATTGGGCAGAAAAATGCTAGTATTGCCAGTAATCTGACAAAGCAGGAACACCACCACTGGGACAGGAGAGATGGCTCATTCTTTAACAACTCTGGCTGCTCTTCCAGAGTACCCAGGTTTGATTCCCAGAACCCAAATAGCAGCTTACAATCCCACTGCAACTCCAGTTCAAGGGGATCTGATATTATTTTCTGGCCTTCACAGGAACCAGGCAAGCAAGTGGTACACAGACATACTGACTTCTTAGGGTTTCTATTGCTTTGATGAAGCACTATGGCCAAAAAGTAAGTTGGGGAGAAAAGGTTTATTTGGCTTACACTTCCATACAGCTGTTCATCATAAAGGAAGTCAGGACAGGAACTCAAGTAGGGCAGGAACCTGGAGGCAGGAACTGATGTAGAGACCATGGAGGGATGCAGGGGGCCAGCCCTGGCAGGATCAGGTACTGAGGTACCTGGCAGGATCAGGTACTCAACATTAGATGAAGGCCAAAGGCTGATGATCTCTGGCCTTGTGACTCTCTCTTACTATTCTAGGGGCCAGAAGCTGATGGCTTCTGGCAATTTAACTTTTTTGCTATTCTTGGCTAAAAGCCACTGGTTTCTGGCAATTAACACCTGCTGTTAGCAGCAAGGAATTAAGAAAAAAAAAAAAAGGCCTAGTTTCTGTTTGGCTTAAGGGCCCCTTTCTGGCCAGGGGAGAATCTTGGAGTTTGTTAGCTCTTAGTGAGCCAGAGAGAAAAGAAGAGGAAAAAAGGAGAATGCAAGTACACATATAGACACACACACACACACACTCATAACTCATATTTTGGCTGGGCCCAACCACCTGTCTCAACAGTTCAACAAGTATTCATGCATACTTATATCCATACACATATATCTACACATGTATGTAGGGAGACAGATATATACATTTGGTGGATGAGGGTGAGCCCCAAAGGCCACACTTTATTTCTTCTCTCTGGCTTTTTTATACCTTCTTAGATAAAGTTCCTTACAAAGTTACTTCATAGATGAAATATTACACAAAAGGGGAGCTACAGAAGGATGTGGGTGGTAAGTTCAAAGCAGTGTTTCATCCTATAAGCTCATTATAAGCTCTAAACAACAGTTTCAAATGGCCTTGCCTTATCATAATGCACACCTGTGGCTTCTTCCTTGGATATGACATAGAATGAAAATTTTCCTTGATCACAAATTTGTCCCAAGTCCTTTTTCTCTTCTTAGTGTAATTTATGAAATTTCATTGTATTTCTTATTATGCAACCCTTACTTACTATTCTATGAGAAGGGGGCACGTTCTATTCTTGATTCTAACCTTATTGCATCTTTCTGGCAAAACAACTAAAACCATCCCCTTAAATTTTCTTCTTAAAATTATTTGAAACAAATCTGAAATGCTACAAAGTAATTAATTCATGTGAACAGCATTAATTCATGAAAATTCATCTTCATGTTGATCTGCAGGAAATTTGCTCAATAGGGTGGGCTGATGACCAAGAATCTTAAGGCGATGTAATAGTGACAGGAAAGGTATATCAGCAGTGAGAAACAATCTTGGGATGAAGTCTCTGGGCTGTGCTTCTCCAGAGTACACCCATTGCAGCTATGCAAAATGGTGGACAATCTCCAGGAAATTCACTTGCCATAGGCTTTCCTAGATGGCTTCTGTCAGAGGGGTGCTAATTACTGGCTTGCTCTCCATGATTTGCTCAGCCTGCTTTTTTATAGAACACAGGATACCCAGGAATGCCATCATCCATAATGAGTTGACCCCTTTCCCATGAATCACTAATTAAGAAAATATCTTACAACTGAATCTTATGGACCCCCCCCCTTCATTCCATAAATTAAACCATCTAAACTAACTCATTGAATTCAAGGCTAGGCAAGTCTCAAATGGCAGTGCTTCTACTAGTCCTTCTTCAGTTCCTTCTGTCTTTGGATGGCAGACTTGACAGTGGCAGCAGAAGCAGTGTTGTAGGCACAAGCCCGGCCAACTACTGTTTTTATGCAGCAACCGAACAACAGTGCCAGATGCTAATGACTCATCTCTTCATCTTGGTCTTGTCATAGAAGGATCAAATGTACCTGGCATACTGCCTGATTTCATTTTTCTTCACCATTTTCTGGAAGGAAGCACCATAGTGGGTCCCCTGTATTTCCTGACAATTCTGATCGTCTTAATTCGTTCAGTCAGGACTCCCAAACCGTCATTCTCTCAACTGAAGTTCCCTCCTTTCACAAAACTCTAGTTTGTGTCAAGTTGAGAAATGACTAGCTAGCACACATACATTCAGGCAAAACACTCTAATAGTAATAATAATAATTAATAATAATAATAATAATAATAAAAAAACAGAGCCACTCCACTGAGTGATACTAGTATAGTGTTTAGATTAGATTTCTGTCCATCAGTGGAAAAGACCAAACCTTACTGTGTGTGAAGGTGTGATGATGGCACACACCTTTAATCCCAATACTTGGGAGTCAGAGGCAGGTGAATATCTATTGGGGTTACATAGCAAAACTCTTCCAAAGCAAACAAACAAACAAACAAAAGAAAAACCAGCCAAAATTTTATCTTGTCTAGATTTTAGCCTCATAAAGTGGAACTTCCCACTTTATCATTACTTCCCTTCCTAGCATATATTAACTATGTAATTCATTTTATATTGAAAATTTTTTCTCAGCTTTGTTCTGAAATTATAAGAAAACCGTTAAGTTTGAATGCACTTTTAGAAAGCTTCTAGAGGAAGATTTTAAAGGATAGTGGCTTTGGATTTTTCTTGTGGTAGGAACCTAGACGTGAGAAAATCAAACTTCAACAAAACCTTTCTATTAAAAAAAAAAGATTAATTTATTTATTATGTATACAGTGTTCTGCCTGCATGTATGCCTGCACACCAGAGGAGGACACCAGATCTCATTATAGATGGCTACCAGCCACCATGTGGTTCCTGGGAATTGAATTCAGGACCTTTGGAAGAGCAGCCAATGCTCTTCAACCTCTGTCTCACTGTGTAGTCCTGTTTGGCCTGGAACTTTTCATGTAGACCAGGTTGGCTTCAAACTCAGAAAGATCTGTCTACCTCTGTCTCCCTAGTCCTGGGATTAAAGGTGGCACCACCATGCCCAGATACAAACCTCCTTTATTTACCCAGAACGTACCATTCTGATCTCTTTCTGCCTTGATCCATATTTTTTTCATTCTCTCTAGTCTCCAATGCCTTAATATCCTATTTCATGTTGAGCCAAAGGGGGGAAACGTTGTCAATCAAAGTGCAGGTCTCTTGCACTCAACTCCCAGAACGAAAGTGGACGGCAGATTTTCTGGAGCTGAGCAACCGGATGTGGAAACTGGGAACTGAATTCAAGTCTTCCATAAGAAGAGGATGAGCTCTTAACTACTGAGCCATTTCTAAAGTCCCCAGAGTATTTTTTAAAAAGTAAATTACATTTAAAATATTTATTGGGTGTGTGTGCATGTGACACGTGCACATCCTGGGATATACTTCTCGAGACCTTGGTTTGTGTAGTTAACGCTTGGCTGCCTATAGCTAACTTGGTGAACTTGGTGAGGTTGTTGAAATGACCCAAGGACACTACAGCTGTGGATATCCCGCAGGACCTAATGGTGGCGCTGGGAATCTGGATTCGGGCAGGGCTTCTCAGCAAGGCTAAAGCTAAGGGCTAGAGACACATAGCACCCCCTACAGCGAGTGCGAATTAGAGGATGACGGAATCACGTGGCTTCCTCTTACCAAAAGCAAAGTAACAATCGCTTCCTCCGTTCCCCATGGAAACAACACGGCCCTCAATGATCCTCCCGCCCCTTCAGTGCTGAGGTTTTGGCTTTTCATTGAAAATGCTGTCTGACAATCAAACACCCGCTTCTTCTGGCTGGACAGTTGGCTTCCGTGAAGTGAGTGACTATGCTGACTGGTCAAGATGCGAAGGCTGGCTTATCTTCACCCAATGTTGTTTCTTTGGGGCGGGACCTAGTGAAGACTCAGGGCCAATCAGAGGCGACGTCGCTTGTGCGACTCCACGTCGGCAGCAGCTACGGGCAAGATGGAGGCGCTGATTTTGGTAGGAGCTGGAGGGCCGGTGGCTCCGCCATGGTGTTCAGGGGCTCCGGGAGGTGGGGTTCATCAGCTGGGGCCGGGAGGGTTCCGGGCAGGCCTCGGGGGCCGAAGCTCCCGCTGTCTGAGCAATGCAAGTGTGGTCTACATGGGAGCCAGAGCCGCGGTTTAGAGTAGGAAGCCTTGCCGGGAAGAGGGCAAGAGTCGGTGGCAAAGTTGAAGAGAACATGTGTGGTCCTTAGGAGAATTCTGAGTGCACTGGATGGGGCGGGGAGGGGGAATCCTTTCAGGTTCTCCCTGATGGTTAGCGTTGTGGATCATAACTACTTGAGTTTCTCCAAATCTCTATAGTCCCCACCCTCCACCCCCAAGTTGCAATGGCAGAGGTGTTTTGCCAGCCCCAGATCCTCCAGGTGGTCGTCAGAATTCGACTACCTATTAGCAATTCCATGTCCTGTTCCTTCACAAAACTTTTCATTTTCCTATTAATCTTTAGTATGTAATTCTGTCACGACTGAGAGTCTGCATTCCATCCAGGTTCAGGAATACTTGGTAGAGGCAGTATAGAGTTTGGAATATTTTTTTCTGACTCCGTATTCTGCTCTCCTATTCCCTCCTCCTTCAGATTTTAGGAACTCATACTGTAGGATCCGTTGTCTATCTTCTTGGTTACATGAGAATTGTGGTGATTATAGAAATGCATTAGCTCTCATCCTTTGATCCTTCCTGCTTGTTCAAGATAAAACACTGACCCTTTAGAACAGAACAAGAGCCATTTCTTTCTTTCAAGGCACTGACTGGCGTTTTGGAGACCTATGAGTCTGGCTGTTTCTGTGTGTTAGTGTAGGAATTTAACCTCCAGCTTCTTGAGTTGGATTTCAGGATTGTTTCCAAAAGTCTTTCTTGGCTCCTGTTTTCCTTTATATTCCTTGTGTTTATGTCAAACTCTTGTTAGTGAAAGAAGAAACAAGTTTTGCCTTCTTTCTTTTTTAAAAGAAAAAAGGTTTTTTGAGACAGGGTCCCTCTTTCCTTCTCTCCCTCCTTTCCCTTCCCTGGTGCCCTGGCTACTCATTAGATCCACCTGCCTCTACCTCCCAAGTGCTGAGACTGGAGGTATGTGCCACCACACCAACTTGTTTTAGTTTTTTGACTGAGAGTTTCATATAGGTCTGACTGGAATCCCCTTTGCCACGTAGCCAGGGCAGACCTCTATACTCACCTGGCATTTATGTGGGAATTTGAACTTTGGTTTTCTTATTTGTATGACAAGTACTTTAACCACTGGCCTACCTGTCCAAACCTCCTTACTAACCTTTCAAATGTCAAAGAGAATTTATTCTCATCATATGAGTTGGACAAGTTGAAGCAAAAATATTTAATGTCATGAGTAGTCCAAGTGTTTACTGTACCAATCAATGAGTTTTTAAAAATCTTGTGACAGACATGGATAGAGTGGTTTCCTTGGATGTTTTTAGCTTTTTAATCAGGTGTGGTGGCTTATACCTGTAACCCCAGCACTCAGGCTGAGGCCATTATTGCTGCTTGTTGGAACCCAGCCTGGGTTACAAAATAAGACCTTGTCTCATAAAACCAAAATTAATGTAATTTAGTTGAACCAGCTTAAAGAGTGAGGAAGGTGATACTTGAGTAGCTCCTTTACCGTTGGTTCTGTTGGGCTGGGTGTAGTGCAATGCTAAGAGCACATGGTCTAGCTGGTTTTTAAAGGCCTTGTATTTGGCCCCTAGCACAGGGAGAGCTGAAGTTGTATGGGGGTAATCTCTGTGTCATTTTTCTCTCTCTTTCTTTCTCTTCTTGCACTGTGTAGTCTGTCTCAGCCTGCTTCTTCCTCATTCTTCCCTTGCAGTTGAACTAACTGGCTGCAAGTAGGAATAGACCCTGGCTAGCTTGCCTGAATATCCCTTACCTTTACTTCTAAAACTATACTGAGCCTTTGTCACTAGCACTGTATGTATTGGGTTTAGGAAAGCAGAGCTATAGGAAATGACTCTTTCTAAGGAAGGGCAGTGCCAAAATGCCCATTTTAGTTTACTTGTTCTCTCAGAACAAAAAAAAATTTTTTTGAGACAGTCTCATTATGTAGCCTGGGCTGGGCTTGAATCTGTCATCTCCTAGCCTCACCAGGTTTCTGAAGTTTCTGTAGATTCTTACCTCTTCAGTTTGCAGAATTTTCCTTTCAGCCGTGGGTTGTATAAAGTTTTTGTTGATGATAAGATACCTACAGGAATCTATGGATTATGGTTCCCGCCTTTAATCTCGATACTTGGTAGGCGCAGGCAGGTGGATGTCTGAGAGTTTGAAGCCAGCCTGGTCTACTTAGTGGGTTCCCAGACAGTCAAGGCTATGTAGAGAGACCCAGTCTTAATAAATAAATAAATAAATAAATAACCCAAACTACAGGTAAATTTTTTTTTTTTTTTTTTTTTTTTTTTTTTTGAGACTGGGTCTCATTATGTAGTCCTGCCTGTCTTGGTTCTTGCTGTGTAGACCAGGCTGGTTTAAACTTACAAAGATTCTCCTCTGGCTCCTGAGCACTAGGATTAAAGATGTTTGTTTCTGTGCCCCACCTACATCATGATCACCACCACCACCATTTATTTCTCTTTTGAGAGTGGGTCTCTTTACATAGTCCTGGCTGTCCTGGAACTCACTATGTAGACTATGTTGTCCTCTAACTCACAGACACCTGCCTGTGTCTGCCTCACAAGTCCTGGGATTAAAGGCATGTATCACCACACCTAGCCTGTTAATACTATTTTTGAGAACAAGGTCTCATGTAGCCAAATCTGGCCTTAAACTCTCGACCCTTCTGCTTCCACATCCCAATATGAAGAGATTATAGGTGTGAACCTCTATAAACCATATCCTGTGTTGTTTTTGAGGCAGGGTCTTTAAATTTATTTTATGTGTATATGTAGGTTGGTACCCGCGGAGATCAGAAGAGGATATTGGATATTCTGGAACTGGAGTTACAGGCAGTTGCTTCTTCATGAGGATATTAGGAACTGAACTCATGTCCTCTGTGAGAGGCAGGAGGATTTTGAGTTTGAAGCTAGCTTGAGCAGATGGCAAGGCCCCTGTGTCAAGAAAGAAAGCAGCAAGCAAAAATTCAAGAAATCTCTAAATCTCTATTGAGCTAAAAAGTTTACTGTACCTGGATAGTACTGAGAAGCTACTCCTAGAGAGAACACAGTACTAACTAAGCTGTCTCTAAGTTTCCTCCTCTTGCATTTCTGTTTGCTGGTTTGGCAGGGCCTCTTGGGGAAACCTGATCAAATATGTTCTGGCCTCACCTCCACAAGGCACACAACTGGTACAGTGTTGAGAAGAGGGAAGGGAAGATCCAGAGGGCCAGGAAATGGGTCAAAATCTGTCCGGGTCTGAGCATTTTGAGGTGATAATAGATTCCTTCATTGAGGTACTTTACAGTGGATCCATCTTGAAGTAAGCAACCAGCCTTGGGGGATGGAGAGATGATGGCTCAGTGGTTAAGAAGAGCACTTGCTTTCTTACAGAGGACCTGGGCTGGCTTTAATCAGCCCATTTATTTATTTAACCACCACATTTATTTCTCTTTTGAGACTGGGTCTCTTTACATAGTCCTGACTGTCCTGGAACTCACTATGTAGACTAAGTTGTCCTCTAACTCACAGAAACCCACCTGTATCTGTCTCAAAAGTCCTGGAATTAAAGGCATGTACCACCACACCTAGCCTGTTAATACTGTTTTTGAGAACAGGGTCTCATGTAGCCAAATCTGGCCTTGAATATATGGTGCCTCTGCAGCACCAGTTTCAGGGGATTGAATACCATCTTCTGACCTTGGGCCTCAGGGAAGCATATGATGCACACACATGCAGGCAAAACAGTCATAAAATAAATATTGAAAAAAGCAGTGCAGTCTTAGCTCATAATTGGATTTACCAAATCTTCCAGTCCTTTGCCTCTCAGTTCCCAGCCTGTTTCTGGCCACAGCCCCTCTGCTGCCCTTTTTGCCGGCTCTCCTGTTCTTAGTTGTTAGTGGAGAGGAATCTGCAGTTGCCATTCTCCATTTATAATCTGGAATCTTAATAACTTCCTTCAGCCTTTACTCCCCCCTCCCCCCCAAAAAAATCTGAATTACTATATCAGTTCAGATGCTTAAAAACTTCTTTTTTTTTCTCCCTATTTCCAGGTTTTAATTTCTGAGTGTGTTTCTAGTGTTTTACAGGTTAGACCTCAGTTCCATTCGTTGTCTCCCCTTAATATTTTATCCTAAAACTGACAAAATCCTGATTTCCACATTTCATTCAAGTACCAGGCCATCTAAAGTGCACCAGGATGTATATGTATCTAGAGAAGGAAACTGCAGGACACATTGGTGACTCAAAGGTTGACATTGTTTCAGTGGCCTTTGCCTCCTGAATCATCTTAATGGGGCTTTTGTTAAATTCCTTTGGCACTAACAGTAGAGGTACTTGGCCTGAGTGCCCCCTCCCCCTGCTTTGGGCAAAGGTATCAATTACATTAAGCCCCCAAAGCACTCCCATCTCGTCCCTGGCAGTCCCCTGTGCCCCTCTCCCAGCTGCGTCCTTGCTGGTGCTTGGCCCCTCCATTTCGTTAGGAGAAGCAATCTCCTCATTCCTGCACTGAGGAGATATATTTCTCAGCCAGGGCTTGAGCCGTGCCAGCACTACCCCCGGTGAGGTCCCTGGCAGCCATAAAAATTTTTATTGTGATTATGTTGGTGTCGGGGTGTCCATCTGGGTTATTGCACACCTAGTTTAATTGATTGAAGTTTAATTTATTGACACTTCAAATTAAATGATCAGAATAAACTGTGCTGTTACTCTGGCCGGCTTGTTTTAATGGTTGATTGCTGGAAGCAGACCTTGGCTTGAACTAAAACCCCAAAAGAGTAATTGACGTTGCTTCTAACTCTCCCCATGTCTTGCCCTCTAAGAAGACCTCGTTATAGATTTCCGACGTATTTATTTATATATTTTTTTT